CACCACGACAACGCAAGACCACACATTTCGAGACAGACGCTGCGCAAACGGAACAGCCTGCAACGTCCTAAATCATCCACCGTATTCTCCTGATATCGCACCTTCTGATTATCACTTGTTCCGGTCATTGCAAAATCATTTAAACGGAAAAAAAATTGACTCTTCGGATGCCTTAAAAAACGTCGTGTCTTCGTTCTTCGAATCTAAACCGCACAGTTTTTATGATCGGGGCATCCGTATGCTGCCAGAACGTTGGAAAAAGATTATAGACAACGATGGAGAAAATATCATTGATTGAATAAAGAACTTTGTTTGCCTAATCACTGTCTGACTTTTACTCACAAACTCCGCATGCACTTTTGCACTCACACAATACTTCGGTTATTCCCTAAGTCTAGTTTCAGATTTTTATCGCTTAGTTTCTCTATTATACGATACGGGCCTACGTATTCGTCGCTTAGTTTACCTTTACGTGGTTCTTTTAAGAGGTATACGATGTCGTCCTTGAGAAAATTTTGGGTGTTGGCCCCTTCGGTCGTAATGGTTTTTCGATTTTTCTTTGGATTTAATGAGGCTGTCGCGCGCGTTCTTTTGTACGGTCGCAAGTTTTTCGTGAAGAGAGATGTTAGGTAATTTGTATACGTGATGGAACCGGCATCGGTTGGCGGAGATGTGGAAGAAGGAATTCCAGCTGTTTTACCGAATACGAGCTCATGGGGGGTATACTGCGTGCCTTCGTGTACGCTAGTGTTGTATGAAAACGTGGCCAGCTTTAAGAGCTGGTCCCATTCGAATTTCTTTGAAATGTTCAATTTTAAGTATTCCCACAGCACGTGGTGGCTACGTTCAAGGGATCCGTTTGATTGAGGCCGGTACGCGGTAGTTTTGTACGTTTCTATTCGGAATTTACGGGCTATGTGTTTCATCAAGCTGTTGATAAAGTGTGAGCCTTGGTCTGTGAGTAGTGCCTTGGGAGCTCCATAAATGCAGATATACTCATTTATAAATGCGTCGGCTACGTCGACTGCGGCTGCGTTTTTTAAAGGTACTGCGAGGGAATATTTGGTTAAAAGGTCTTGTATTGTGAGGACGTAAGTATTTCCGGAACTGGTGGTGGGAAGGGGACCCATTATGTCCATCGATATCTTGTCGAAAGCCTGTTTGGGTGTGTCCGTAATAGTCATGGGTTGTTTCGTTTTCACGCGTACGAGTTTCTTTAGCTGACAGTCCTTACAATGACGGATGTGATTCTGTATGTCTTTTTTCATATTTCGCCATTGATATTTTTCTTTCAAACGGAGGTATGTTTTCGTGACTCCTTTATGTCCGTTAATCGCGGAACCGTGATATTCGTAAAGGATTTTGTCTCAGTCTTCTCTAGCCGAAATTACGATTCGGTTGGTACAGATAAAAAATTTGGTTGGGATGTCAGCCACTGTTTTTGTAAGGATTTCTTTGACGTTATTCCAGGCGATGGACTCTACGTTGCCTTTACAGAGGGACACTGTTTTGAGTTCTAGTTCGGTGCAGACGTCTTTCAGGGAGGAGCGTATGGCTGTAGTGTCTGTTCTTCAATTATCACCGAAGTTTTATCTTTAATTGGGAGGCATATCATGGTAGTGAGATTATTTATTTTTATAACGCGGGCGCGGCCAACGGTTGCGTCGTTCAGCGTGGGTAGTTTTCCCAGCTGAGAGAGGATTTTTGAACCCCCCTTCGTCACGGGGTTCTCCAGAGAGGTCGGTAAATACTACGAGGACGCCTTTTCGAGAGGAAAATTGATCCTTGATTTCTATTACGTTAGTCACGGGTTCGCGCATTTTATAGGGTTCAATGATGTTGTCGAAAATGTCATTGTCTGTGTCGGTAGTGTCGGATTCGTCCGTGTCAGTGGTATTTGGTTTGTCCGTGTCAGCGTCAGATGGGTCTTTCCATTGCGGTAGCTGTTTCAATTGCTCTATCTGGTCTTCGGGTGGCGTGGAACGGATGGGTGTTTCTGGGGGTGGCGCTGTTCGAGTAGAGAAGATCGAATCCGAGTCTGAATCAGAATCTTCTCTCAGTGACTCGGTTATGGAGAAGAGTGGAGGCGGGGGAGGATTTCGTGACAGAACGTCGGCATTTACATTGGTTCTTCCCGTTTTATATGTTATATCGTATTCGAATTCTAATAAACGTAACCGCCATTTCATCAAGCGCGACGAGGGGTCCTTTACTGAATGTAGCCACACCAAATGTTTATGGTCGGTGACCAACTGGAATTTCTTTCCATATAAGTAAGGCCTAAAATGTTGTACATAATAAACTATGGCTAAGAGTTCCTTTTCTATTGTTGAATAGTTTTGTTCGGCCGCGTTTAAGAGACGAGAGGCGTATGCTACGGGAAGGTCCTTTCGCAATTGTCCTTGGCTCAGAATGCCTCCTATCGCAAATCCGGACGCGTCGGTAGTGAGGATGAACGTTTGGGTAAAGTTCGGATACTGTAATACGGGTTCTGTACATAGTGCATCCCGCAGCTGTACGAAAGCCGTTTCTTGTGGTTTTTCCCATGAGAATGGAGTATCTTTCTTTGATAAACCCGTGAGAGGCTTTACGATTTTTGAAAAGTTGTGTATAAAGCGCCTGTAGTAGCCCGCGAGACCTAAAAATTGTTTTACATTCTTTGCGTTCTTTGGAATTGGAAAAATTTTGACAGCTTCTACTTTTTGAGGGTCAGGTTTTACGCCTTTTTCTCCTATCACGTGCCCTAGATAGGTGACTTCCGTTCTTAGGAACTCACATTTGTCCGGTTGAAGGCGAAGGTTGGCCGCTCTAAGCCGTTCGGCTAGCTTATTAAATTTGATTTCGTGCTCGCGTAAAGAACTGGAATATAATACGATGTCGTCAAGGTAAAGGAAGAGTTCATTTCCTTGTAGGCCGGTAAGTACCTGGTCCATGAGGCGTTGAAACGTCGCAGGTGCGTTTTTAAGCCCGAATGGCATACGATTGAATTCATAGTGGCCGTGAGGCGTGGAAAATACCGTCTTCTGCGCGTCCGCCTCATGCATGGGTATTTAGTGAAACCCGGCAGCGAGATCAAAGACACTAAAATATTTCGCGTTACCCAGCTGATCCAGGATTTCGGTTATGTTGGGTAGGGGGTACGCATCGCCAATGGTTTTCTCATTTAGAGCGCGAAAATCAATGACCATGCGCCACCGCTTATTGCCCTTTGAGTCAGGCTACTTTGGGACGATCCACAAGGGGGAGTTATATGGAGAAGAGGAGGTCTTGATTACATCGTTCTCAAGAAGTTCTGTAATTTGTTTTTCGATTTCCTCTTTGTGAATCGGGGGGTAACGATATTGTTTCGTGTAGATAGGCCGGTCGTCCGTCGTGGAAATCTTATGAGTGATCGCATTGATGTGTTCTAATTTGTCGCTTGGTAGCCTGAATAGATCGTGGTGTTTTTCCACGAGGGACGAGACATGGCGAGCTTCTTCTTCGTTTAAATGACTTAAACGAAGGCTATTTTTGATGTTCCCGATACGCGTTTCTTCGTTATTCATTTTATTAATGCAGTGAATTCTACCCTTTAAAGGTTTTACGACCGGGCCCTCAGGTCCTAAGACAGAGGAATCGGATGAGGTTTGGCCGGATGGGCCGAAATTTATGACCGAGCCCTCGGGTCCTAAGACGGAGGAATCGGATGAGGATGGGCCGAAATTTATGACCGAGCCCTCGGGTCCTAAGACGGAGGGGTCGGGCGGAGTTTGGCCAGATGGGCCGGAGGTAGTTTGTCGAGATAAAGAGGCTAACTCTATCTCTTCTAATTCTACCTTGGGAATCGTGGATTTTTCTATCTTCGTTTCGCGTATTTATGATCCCGATGTATGCCTTTCCGTCTCGATTCGTGACTACTGCTTCTCCTAAGTAGATGCCGTTGTCGATATCTAAACGGGGGACATAACCTACTGCGATCTCGACGTTACTGATTTTTATTGGGAGTACTGTCCGAGATCTGGCGGGAATGATTACCGAATCTTGTGACGTGAAGGGAATGATTACTCCCTGCCAGATTACCGCGCGGTTGTCGAAATCTATTCTTGATGCATTACACAGGAAGTCGGATCCTAGGATTCCTTCCTGTGTAATAGGGAACGTATTCTCTACTATGTGGAGCTTCAACGGGTGCCCCATATAAACGACTGTTGTTGAACCTAAGGTCGTGATGTTTCCCTCTGTGATGCCGCGAAGGATCATTTTTTCATCGAAATTAATTATGCGATCGGGTAGAATGTTCCTTTGTTTAATTAGATTTGGCGCGGCTCCGGTATCTACCATAAAATTTGTCTCGGCCGCCAGGCCTTGCGCGGTTATCGTTACTGACGGCGCGTGCGCGAAGTTGTCTCGATTCAAGACTGCGATATAGTGTCGGTGGTCGGCTCGGGGTCGTTCGCGGAAATCGGGTGGATTATCTCGCGAGAAGGTCCCGCTCGAGGGTTGCCCGGATCCCTCGAGGGGCTTGGGGAGTTTCCCTGCCCCGTCCGGCTGTTATTGAATTGCCTTTTCCGGCATTCTTCAATTTCGTGACCCGCGTTTTTACAGTACCTACACCAGCGGCTCGAGCCACTAGGAGGGGTAGAGTCGGGGCTTCTTGCGGGCGGCTGCTTAGTATTTCGAGGGTCATCGTACCACCTGGGAGGTACGGAACCCCGTGATCGTGGCTACTCGATTCGTTGGTTATTGGGGCTGGTATAGTAACTATAACGCGCATGGTTATTAAATCTATCATTTTGCGATGGATATCTCTGTTCCCATGCTGTGCGCGGATTATTTGGCGGCCTGTAGTTATTATACGTGTCTTGTAGTGGGCGCAAGGGGGTGGAGTGGGCGAGCGGCCTACCTATAGGATGCAGGTCTGCCCGAGGAAGGGGGTTGTCATTACGGCGCGGCTGCTCGTAGCGTTCGCGGTCTAATTCCCGTCTCTTTGCTAGATCTTTCACGTGGGCGAAGGCCTCGAATGGCCTGTTGTAGTCGTCGCTGCTTAGCTGTATACGGAATTCCAGCGGTAACCCTTCGCAGAAGGATCTAGCCGTAAGAGCGTCTATGTTAAGTGTCACATACTCGTCCAAGGTCCCATGTTCCCGACGTTCTGCATCTAAAATTGACGTCCGGAGGTCCTTGACGCGCGTTATGTAATCGAGAATGTGTTCGCGGGGTCGCAGGAAAATCGTACTCAGTTCGCCCCTATATTGATCTATGGTTTTATGTGAGCCAAATGCCCTATTCAATAAGTCTAAGAATTCTGTGACGGTGCGGCAGGGCTCGTCTTCGACAGCGTAATAGGCGCGACCGCGGAGCTTGTTGACGAGTAAGTGCGTAAGGTTACCCTCCGACGTGGGGTGTATTATGTCCCTGGCTCGACGGCATGCGGGCGCGAATTGGGTTAGGGGGATGTTATAACCGTCGAAGTTGGGAACTGTTTCCAACGCCTCTCTGAATGAGACGCGTGGTGGTTCTCCTCCGTGGGTGGAAATTTGTGGGGACGCTGTAGGGGAATCCGTTTTATATCGAGAGGTGTTGGGTCTTAATGATTCGATATCACGTCGCAGGTTGGATAATTCGCGCACAACATCGAGAGGCGCGATTACAGATTGATCTAGGGGGTGGTCATGGGGAGAAACTTCGCGTCTGGATAATTCGTTTTCCTTCTCCTCGAGGGAGATCTTTATCGAATCTAAATCGCGCATTGTACGCTCGCGTTTTTTCTCGGATTTTTCGCGTTCAGCCTGCATCTCCTCATGGTTAAGCTGAATGGCTCTAGCTCTCTCGGCTAGCAAGGACTCTTTTTCCTGTAATTTTGCATGCATGACATCGATTTCGTCCGCCGTGAGCGGCTTACTGTTCTTAGAAATCTTGCTGCGCGTCTCCATCGCGGGGGGACTTCCTTATAGCGGTATCCCACCGCTGTCACAAAAAATGTTACGTCCCGCTCGGCTGCGGTTGTCTATAATTCTCGGGCCACGAGAGGGGCTAGATTTTTTTCGGGTGATCAGGCTTCTGCAGCCCTACTCTGGGATACGCGCTACCAGGTAGTCCCATTGGAGGTGATGTGTGACTTAATTCCTATTACTTACCGGTGATGATAGTTTCAGAGCGGTGACTCCGAGGGTGCTGTCAGTGGCAGTTGTCCTCAGGCAGAGATCCTCGTTGGTAAGAACTGGATCGCTCTTAATGTTCACCTGGCGTCCGCACTCGTGTGTCGTGTGATTAAATCCACTGGCGGACCCGCTGTTGTCGGTATAAGGCGCTTCGAGATGTGGCACGAAGTTCCTTCAATGAAGGAAGGGGGGTGTAGATTCCCCGAAGTAAGCATGTAGAGGTTCGGCTCTTAAGATCTTATAATAATATTCGGGACGCGGGTTCCGTGGCGATGACGTACGACGGACCTTGGTCACCTTGAATTCGTCTAAGTCGATCGGTATCAACTTATATTCGCACAGATTATTCACACGCGGGGTCAGCAGTCGCGGCGACGGGCACTCCCACTGGGGTAGGCGCACGAGGGGGTTCCGTGGAGAGAGGACTTGATGGGCATGAAGAGAAGGAAGGGTCGGATAAACCAACGAGGGAATTGATTTCGCGGTTGGCGGTGCGGGTGAGCTGGCGCACCAGCTTGCGACTTTGGTATTCGCGACCACCGCGTCGTTTTCTTTTCTGAGGCATCAGCAACGTAGACTCAGGACACTGCAACTAGTTGATACAAGAGATATGGGCGTGCAGCTGTCCTGCACCTATCTGCTCCCACACTCGTGACGCAATCAGGTTGGCGGGTGTCGGTTACACTTGAGGTTGCCACGAAGGCCTCGTACGAGCGTGCAGCTATCCTGCACCTGGTGAGCTCTCGCTTGAGGGTGTTCGTAAAGACAACGGCAAGGGTTGAGTGATAGAAGCTTGGTTAGCCTGAGGTTTCCTTGTGATCCCCGCACGAGCGTGCCGCTGTCCGGCACCGGTGAGCTCTCGCGTGGAGGATTAAGGTTACCATGCGATCTTCGCACGAGCGTGCCGCTGTTCGGCACCGGTGAGCTCTCGTGTGAAAGATCAGAGTTGTCACGCGATCTCCGCACAAGCGTGCCGCTGTCCGGCACCGGTGAGCTCTCGTTGGAGGATCGTCGTGAACAACGGCAGGAAAAGTGGATATAATCGATACGGGGTGGTTTGAAATGGAGCGGGACTTCTGAAGGTAGTACAAACTTGGTACTAAACCGTTGGTTAAATATGTATATTCTAAAAAATAAATCTTTGGTAGTACAGTACAAGATTCAGTCTAGAGAGTGTCGAGATTGAAATATTCTAAGTCCCGATTTCGACAAAAGTATTCTAAGTTAGATTTCGACAAAAATATTCTAAGTCAGATTTCGATGAAAATATTCTAAGTCTAGGTTTCGACAAAAATGTTCTAAGTTAGATTTCGAGAAAAATATTCTAAGTTTAGATTTTGACACAACAAACAATTCTAGGTTAAACGCTTACCCAGAGTTAGGAGGTTGGTGCTTGGAGAGGAGTGCACCGGACCGCGTCCGCGGATGAACTGCCGTTCTCGGGCTCAGGGGCCCTCTTTTATACCCAACGGACGGGCTGGTGTTGAGTTGTAGGTGGCGGTTAGTGTCGCTTGGGATATGTGTTGGACGTTCTGATTGGCTGTGTAGGAGGTTTGGTGAAATTCCTCTAGGGAGTAGATGTTGTGTGTTCTGATTGGTCTAGGACTATGGAGGAGGCTTTTGATTGGTCGAGGAGGTTTTTTGGTCGTCTTAGAGCGTGGTTCTGTTTTTACTAGGACTAGGGTATAAAGTCGAGGATTCTGATTGGTCCTAGTGATGTTCTAAGTGTTTTGATTGGGTAGAGCGGGTTTTAGGTCTGAAGGAAAGGAGATTAGGATTTCTAGGTTTGTTTTTGATCCGATTTTAGTTTTTTAGGAATGTTTTACGGGATTGGCGTGGATTTAAGGCTCAGCGACAGAAGAAGACAAAGGGGAAGGGAAAGAAGGAGAAAAAAAATAGGATATGGTTTTTTCGCCGGGTCTAACACGCGTCAGACGTGACATGTGACTGAAATATCCTTCTTTATTACGGTATTTCCATGCTGCAGCCTCGAGTAATTCAACCGGCGAGCGTTTCTCTCGCTTGTGCAGCAGAACACGTGATCTAATGCAAATTCACGTTTCGGCTTGAATCTATTCGAGCAAATACGCTAGTTGCACGAGAAGACGTAAAAGAAATCAATCTGCCAACGTAACTTGCGAGTTTGCGTGTAATTAGCGAAGTAACGTGAATGTCAAGTGAATATTTCGTTTCTTTACGTTAAATCATGAACGGATGCAAACTGAAGAGTGTGATTGAAATATTCATTTTTGTTACGTTATTTCCATGCGGCTGTTTCGAGGATTTCAAGCGGCGAGCGTTTCTTTCGATTCTACAGCAGAAACCGTTAACTAATGCATATTCACGTTTCGGCTTGAATCTTTTCTAACAAATACGCTAGTTACACGAGAAAATGTAAAAGAAATCAATCTGCAGGCGAAACTTGCGAGTTTTCGTGTAATAGGCGAAGTAACGTGAATGTCAAGTGAATTTTGCTTTTCTATACGTTAAGTCGTGAACGGATGCAAACTGAAGAGTGTGATTGAAATATTCTTCTTTATTACGTTATTTCCATGCTACAGCCTCGAGGAACTCAAGCGGCGAGCGTTTTTTTCGTTTCTACAGAAGAAAACGTGAACTAACGCAATTTCATGTTTCGGCTTGAATCTTTTCGAACAAATACGTTAATTCCACGATAAAACGTAAAGAAATCAATCTGCGAGCGAAACTTGTGTGTTTGTCACGTCCTCGGGCCCTCAGGAACGAGAATGCGCTGCTCCCTTTTTGTTTTGGGCCTACCTGAGTAGATGAGATAGGCCGGTTCTGGCGCAAATGTATCTGTTTTACCGACCGAGTAGCAAATCCAGATGGCGCAGTTGGATCTGTTTTACCGGCCGAGTAGCAAAGACCAGTTGGCGCTGTTGGCGCAGTTGGCGCTGTTTTTATTTTTTTTACCAACCGAATAGCAGGGGCCGGTAGGCGCTGTTTTTTTTTTTACCGACCGAATAGGGCCCCCTTCAGCGGTCGGTACCCCCTCCTCCTACAGTCGGTATACCCTCGCGCACCCGCTCCTCCGGCAGTCGGTATACCTTGCTCACTCCCTCCCCCACCCTCCCTCCTCCTGTTCGCAACGACCCGCGGTAGTCGCGCGCGCGAAGGTCCGCACCCTTCCACTCACCCACCC